AATCTTCAACACTGCCATTGATTTATATCAACACTAGTGCAATAAAGATTAATAGACTTGTCAAATAAAACAACATATTATTCTATATGACCGTGAAAGTCCTTATACTCGAGTATGTTCTCCTTCAATAACGTAATTTATGATGCTTCTTTTTTTTCCCTATCGAATTCACACATTAGAGATTTTTATACTGTTTATATATATATTATATATATAAATACATAATAATACTAGTCCACAGATTTGTGCTTAGATGCGATTTTTTGCTCGTTTGTAGAGATATAGTTAGATGATTGAATAGTGATAACGGTATAACGACGAAGACTGATATAGCTTGTCAAATGGACAGGATGAGAGTAGTAGAAATTGAGACATCGATTACATAATCATCTTTTTCTCTTTTCTACATATAATAATCTCGAATTTCCCCTTTTTTTTCCTTCTATCCTCGCTCTCGCTTAATTGAACATTGTATGTCCTCCGAGAAGAAAAAAAAGACAGTTGATAGTGACAAGAACATCAGTAATATACATAAGTAAAAAAAAAAAAAAAAAAAAAGAAAGAAAGTAGCTCAAATAACCTTCAATCATGTAATCATTAAAAATTCAATCAATATTATTTCTTTTATTTCTAGCATTCAACATCTCTTCCTTTAATCGACGAAGACGATATCATACCATTTAATTCAAGTGAATATGAAAAAATTTCTGTAACATCATCAAATAATACAAGTATACATTTTGATATTAATACTTCTTTAATTAATCGTAAACGTTCAAGATCACCTAATATTAATATAAATATATATCCAATATCATTAAATTTAAATAGAAAAATGCTTAAATCTAAACGACGTAGGTCATTAAATTATTTACCTTCTAATCTTTCACCTTCAACATTTTATTATTCATTAACAAATATAAATGATTATGATGATAAAAAAATAATTAAAAAACAAAAAAAAACATTATCAAAATTAGATATTGGTTATGCAAGTGAAGATGATTATGAAAATAAAAAATTAATATTAACAACAATAAAAAAAAGTCAAAGTGATAGTAAAATTCAATTAAAAAAATCAACAACTAATATTTTATCATCATTAACACAATCATTACCATTATTTCAACATATTCATTTATTACCAAAATGGTGGAGATATTCAATAACATCAGCATATGATACATGTTCAAATCCAGATATTGATATGAGTATTGAAGAAACAAAAAAATCAAAAATAAAACCATCTTTACTTATGTATAGTAAAAAATATACAAAATTTAAAAAATATATTGAACAAAAATCTACTTTAATATCAAATTCATATGATGCAAGTACAGAATATACAGATCAAGAACAATCAGAAAATGATGTTGATACTTTATCATCAGATTTATTATCATTATCACCAATTAATCATTATCAAAATTCAGATTCTTTATTTTATAATCGATATACAACAACAACAACGACAACTGGTTATTCATCAGATATTGAACTTGAAACAACAACGATACCATCTAAAATCGAAGATCAATCATTGTTATATCTAGGTTAGAATACAAAACAGATGTTAACCTTTGTTTTGTCTTAGAACGAGTTTAATTCAGTCATATATTGACTTTTTTAACGATAAAAAGAAAGTGAAAGAGTTAAAGCATTTACTACCCTAGAGAATAATAGTCATATAGATTACATCTTGTATTCATTGGTCTTATTTTATTCTCAATAGGTGAAATATCTCAGATGAACACTCATGCATTAACTTTATCGCCATCAATAACTTCAAACGGTAAAAAATCTCTTCATGTTTTCTTTTCTAATTATAAAACACTTAAACATTTACTTTTCTTTTTATTTGTTTTCATTCAGAAGTCGAATCATCGAATACACTAACAATAAACGATAAAATAGAAAGTTCTGAACCATGTTGGGATGGATATCAAGTAAATTATATTGAAATATAAATTTTATTAGAAATAATTTTTATTTTTATTTTCAAAGAATCCGCTTTTTTATCCACTTAATTCACAAGATATGGATTCAATGGAAACAATACTTAAATGGGATGATCAATTTTTCGAAATAGATCAACTGTCTAATTCAACATCCGATGATGATGGTATACATATTCATGATAATTTCAATCGTCCTTCTTTATGGGTAAAAATTTTGAAATTACTTTTTTTTTTTTTTGTTCAATAATAAAATCAATTATTTACTTTCTTAACAAACCTTGAAATCAATTTCATAGAGAAACCTTAAAATTTTCTTCTATAGAAATTCTAATAAATGATTTCTTCTTCTTCATCTTCTTTTCTTTTTATCACCAATAGAAAAAAAATCTTTCTATACATATTACAAAAAAAAAAAAGACTTATTTGTAATCTCTTGGGATATTTATGATAACATATCTCAAATAATAATGCCTGTATGAATACATAAATGTTTTGGATATAATCAAGCTAACGGCACCTAAGATAAACATAAGTATCAAATCTTTTCTTTGCATAAAAATTTCAACTATATTAAAAAAAAATCAACAATAAGAAACCATTTAAGTTTAATGCATCATGATGAATATCATTTCAAGGATATCTACATTATTAGCATATATACATATGCTGATGTCTAATAAAAGGTCAAATGTTCATTTTCTCTTCATAATTTGTATCTTATTTAGCAGAACAGTAAACCAGATCTATTATTCATTTCTTAAGAAGGATAAACACTAATGAAGATAATTTCTTTCCTTCTTCTTCTTCCTCTTCTTCTTCTTCTTCTTTTCAGTTCTATAAGAAAAAAAAAGTGAGCAGAGTAATAAAGATGAACTTTCTGCATCTCTTTTTTTTTTTGCCTATGTTACCTTTTCACTGCGCTCACGAAAAAAAGAAGAAAAAAAATTTTCTTTTTTCTTTTCCATCAGGTCGTACCGTTATTAATTACAAATAGAAAGTAAAAGGAAAAAAACTACGAGATGCACTTTTTCTTTTGATTTGTCAATGTAATGTATTAAACTTGATTACATAGATTTCGTTTTCTCGCATAGATATATCAAAAAATGTACGTAATTAGTGATATCATTGAACACGGTTCATTGAATTTACACTCCTTAAATCTATAACTCCGATTTTTTTTTTATTAGCCGTCCTTAATATGATGTGAGTTATATCTATCTATATAATTTTTTTTTTTTCAATAATATTGAAGATTACTTATTACTTTCGGTCAATGAGCAATAATTATTTTGGTTTTAACCTTTTGTTTTTTAAATATACCTTTAGGGCTACTTATTGAATATTTCTCATGATATGTTATTTTATTGTTTTTCGTTAATTAAACTATAGATTACAATTATTCACACCCTCCAGTATATAAACTATATCATTTGTTCATTATATTTTAGAATAACAATAGTTCATCAATATCATTAATAACAAGCATAACAAATAAACAACAATTTGATTCAGATTCTGATTTAGATGATTTTAATTATGTTATAAATGAAAGTGAAAAACAATTATTTAAAACACGACAAAGTTTAGAAAAGAAAAAACGACAACAACAACAACAATCAAACTCCCATGATCGTAACCAACGAAAATATGTAAAGAAAAATTTTCAACTACAAAAAAAAAACAAAAAATTTCTTTTCATTATTTTATTTTATCAAGGATGAAATACTTCGTACTTGTGAAACAAATATTCAATGTTTAGAACAAATTTTAAAAAATCTTCATCGATCAAAAAATTCTCGTCTAAACAATATACAAGCTATTGAATTATTACAAAGTAAATAAATTCAAATAATAGACCTTTTTTTTTTTTTGCACATAAATTATTTCGTTCTGTCCTATTATCATTAGATAGAATGTCATTCTTTTGTTTATTTAATTCATCTTAACAGTGTACTATACTTCTACTTGATAATATTATAAGTTATTCCCTTCAATCAATTGAATTAAATATGCGTTTATATACATATGTACTTGATGACAATAGAAGAATACAACATATATCTTAATGTAGTCAGAAATTGATGACTATAAATGTCAATACTATAGCTATTTTTTCCCTCGTCTTGAAAACGATGGTAATTATCCGAGATTTAATTGTCTGATGAATAAGGTTGTATTTTTTAATTAATAGAAAATGATGTTTTTTTTATTACATTTTCGTGCAATACATAGAGATGTTTAATCATGATCTTTTCTCTTTCGTTCTTATTTGTATGCTTTTCTTTCTTTTTTTTTTCCCTATCGTTCGTATCTATATATATATATATATATAGTTAAGCGATGTCCTTCGAATAGAGAGAAGAGAAACACAACTGCTACTATATTCTCTCATTGTCATTAATAAAGAACGCGAGAGAGAGAAAGTGAAAGTAAACCTCATACACGTTATTTCTTCGTTAGAACCAGCAAACAATATATTATCTATGTAAGTTTTATATTATATTACATCATAAAAATTAAATGTTAAGCTGGTTTAATTTTTTTTAATCGGTTTGTTATATACAATTGATTATTATTATCTAAATAGAATGAAAATTTATGTTCACACTCTCTTTGTACTTCTCTATCGTAATTTTATTTAATCTTCTATTCGTTTATACTCATAAATCTTATTTCATACTATATATGAAGGATATATCTGTGAATGTATCGATGTATAGATTGATCTGTCACCATTTTATATACATTAAATGAATGATCATCATATATATATCTATATAACAAAAGTGAGAAATTTCATCATAACAATAATATAAAAAAAAAATTATATGCGTGACAGATACAATCGATAGTTTGTTATGTATAACAAATTTTACTTTCTTTACCTTTTTGTTTTTAGAATATTTATCCGATTGGCATGATATGCGACAGCAAGTTAATAGTGATCGAAAACGTGCACGTCATTTATTACATATATCACAAGAAATTATTAAATTAAAATTACGTTTAGACGAAGAACTATCTCATATCAATACAACGTTTAATCCTTCATGGTTTGATAATAATTCATTAAATCAATTAAAAGATCAAATTTCCTATGAAATTGATTTAGAAAAAGAAAATCGTCAAGTAAAAGAAAAAAAATAAAACGATAAATCATCATTAAATAAATATTTATTTTTTGTTTTATTGTCAAATAGAAATTAACTTCATTTTATACCGATCTTCATCTATCTGAAGAACATTTAAAAGAATACCGTATGGCTTATTCCGATGCATCATTATCATTTAATATTGATGAACATTTACATAATAATCGTTTAATACTTGAACAATTTTCAAATAAGTAAGAATATTATTTATTATTATCATTTATATATATATATGATCAATTTAGAATGGATTCATATCGAAATCAATTACATACATTATTAACAATGATTGATAATCTTCTATCTATTGAAAATCATATTGAACAAAAATTAACTTCATTTGATTATCCAGTAAAAATTAAAATAATTAAAAAAATATATATTCTTTTTTTTTCTTCTTCTTAGATTGAACTTCAAGAATTACAAACATTAATCGATAATTATGAACGAATGATTCCAAATAATAATAATTCTTATTTAATTATAAAAAATCATTGTGAATATAAATTAGATATTTATAAAAAAATGTTTAATGATTTAATACATAAACAAGATAAACATGTTTCATTTGATCGTCCAATTAATTTTAATAATAATAATAATTCAACAAATATTAATTCTTCAACAACATCATCAACATCATCGACTCCACCAGAACAACAATATATAAAAAATCATTCGAATGATAATTTTCGAAAGAAAAAAACAATATTCAATCAATATCGACAAACAGAAACTCGAGGTATTCAACGTAAGCTCGTATTAAACACGTATAGAACACTTTTTTTTTTTTTGATTATTTCGTTTATTAAACAATCAGAGTCATCTATCTATATGTCACGTATTCAATTAAAATAGACGTTGCAAGGTGAAGCCAATCAATTTTTGTTTTCACTTTTCGATAAGGGAAAAAAATAAAAAAAAAAAAAAAAAGGAAAAAGGAAAAAAATAACCTTGGAGGATAAAAATAAACATCAACATACATATATATATATATGTGTCATAATATATTTTCATTATTCTTATTTTTGTAGACAACAACACAACAAGTAAAAAAACAACCAATAAACAAAGTACAACATCGTCCTATATATCAGATGATTGTAAAGTTTTATATATAGAAACAGTTATTGAAGTGCCTAAACCTATTTTTTACGAACATACAATTAATACATTATCATCATCAACAACAAATACTGAACATCATCATAATCATCACATTCCACATAATAAATTAAATAGTCAACAACAAATATTAAAATTAAATAGAAATCAATTTTTTATGGATTCAACTAATAAAAATCATGATGACGATTCAACAGATGATGATTTATATGATCAACATACGAAACCGGTGAATTCATCAACAACAACAACAACAATAAATTATCATCCAATAACAACAGATCATTTAAAGCAACAAGGTGATAGTGGAATTGAATATGATCAAACATCATCATCATCAACAATATATAATCAACAAACATCAAATGATCAATTAATATTTCCAACATCAAATCAAAATTTTGATCCAACATTACAACCATCACTTATTCATCGTATACAAAAGCAATCAACATTAAAAAATAAAAATCAACAGTTATCAACAAATATAAATCAACAAGATACATGTTGGAATCATTTTAAACAAACATGGTTACGTTCACTTTTAATTGGTCTTTTAATTTTATTCATTTTATTTCTTATTTATTTATTTGCGCTTGATACATGTTCACGATCAGCAATTTTCCGAAGAATGTTTAATAGAATTATTTATATTGAACAACAAGGATTACCGACTATTTGAGACAATATTAATTGTTTGTTTTTTGTTTTTTTTTTGTCTTTGGAATTGTTAGTTTGTATGCCATCTTTTGTATAGTATTTCTTTTGACGTGTGTTTATATGTTTTTATCATGTGTTTTTTTTTGACGCAGAAAAAGTGAGATTTTTTTTTTTTGTTATTCAAAACTTATATAAATATATGAACGATAAAGTCGAGAAAAAATAAAAAAGCAAGGTTAGTATAGATATTGGTTTTTTTTTCTTTTATTTAAATGATAATAATATCAATTTACTTGAAATTCTTTATTAAAAATAAGAATTTTTGCATTTTATATGAAAAAAGAAAAAAATTTTGCTCGGAGTAGTTTTTAAATAAATTATTTTCATCATTATAAACACTAGAAATGGAAGTTAGATATAGATGGAACCGATTTAGGTTTTTTTGAAGATCAGTACAACGATAATAGATTGATTCTTAAAATAAAGTTTCTTTTAATAATGAACTCTCCCAAGTTTACCATTTAGATCATGAATTTGAAATAGCTAAACATTTGTATACAAATATTTCATATATTGCTTTCGATTTAAAAATACATCAATATCAATATCAATCTATTATTATTATTATTATTATTGACAATAAAGACAATGTACGATTTATTATGCTAAAGTGTCGAAAACAATGAATACATTGTAATAGTACAATAAAACCACATTTGATGTATTGCGAGTATGATTACTTTTATTTTTGAATAGAAAATCGCATGTTGAATATTAACATACAAATTTCGAGATATTTTAGATTCATGATCTAAGTTGATAACTTGACTGTGTGCACTATTAAACAAAATTTTATTGTAAGAATCGACCTATGATCGTTATACCGGTCAAAACCGGTCGACTGGCTCCATCTATGAAGTTAGACTTGCACGTAGGATGAAGAGTATTTTTTGAAAGATCGAATTATTTTCTTTTACATAGATCTTCGAAAGTATGGAATTTACAAACTAATAAATCATTTTCATGTTGCTGTTGATATAACTGTCAAGATAAATTCAGACAGAAACGTCTAAGTCTTGATTAGAGATGTGCGTTATCAAGTTTTTATGGTGTTAGTAATTTCTTTTATAATGGTTCTAGTTATGGTCCCAGTAAATCTAAGTTAGTGTTGATCAATAGAAAATTATTTTAGATTTTATTCATATCACAGTTAGAAAAAATTCGACAATACTTGTTTTTTGATTTATTTAGTCGATGACTAGCACTTTTTTGTTGGGATCATTTCTCTTGAATTATGTTCTGATTGATATAGATTTGTGAGATAATGCGCTTAAAACCGTAGAATATTTAGCTATAATATTCAGTCCTGATTGGGACAAGTTTTTTCTTGTAATCTCGATTTCGGTTAACCCAACAATGAACGGATTCCGTGAGTTCTGAACTATTAGAAGGTTGAGTCTAGGTCTGACTTTCGGTTCTCTCTACACGCACAACCAGACACATATTTGAGTCGACTCTCATGTAATTTCTAGATGTAAGACACCATTGCAGTTATTTAAAATTTGTGCATAAGTAAAGCATGATGATATCAATTTCATTTGTAATTCTAGAGTTGCTCGAGTTCCGAGTCTTCCTTCGGTTCGGAGCTCACGGTATTTGAACATATCTCTTTTTTTTTACGTCATTCGAAATGAGACACTCATGCTTTTTTGGAAATGGCGTATAATATCAAACCGAAAATTTGAGGCAATAAGGTATTTTAATTATTATTGAGAAGATAGCGCATGGTTGACAATATCTTTGGTAAAAAAAAAAACAAACTTTATTATAACTCTTGTTGTTCTTTAGAAGATAAGTTAAACAGAGCAGCTATATTTACTTGTAATGTCTATATCTTTAGAATGCCTTGTGGATTTCAGCTAAAACTTACAGGTTATTCCTAACTCGGACGTATCTACTTACTGTAAAAATATAAATCAAACCGATAAGATCGATCAAGTAAGGTTTTGTTTATTATATGATCTAGATGATTTTCTGTTAATACTACATTAATTTGAGTTACTGTGATGAATAGAATTGATAATAGATTTTTCTTTTTGCAAAACTTTTGAAACATATTAGCATAAATATTAATCATTGAATTTTCAAGATTCACATTTTAATCACATACAGTATTTAAAAAAAAAATTCTAATAACTTTTATAATTATATAAAGTAAACAATCTATTTCTGATACGAGATTTTATTGAATAATAAATACAAAAAATATAATATTTTTTAAACTAACAAATAGAATCAGTATTTTTCATTGATTAGTTGTTTAGAAAAAAGAAATATATATATATTACTTTTTTCTCCTTGATTCTGTATATAAAGCCTGATATTCTATCCATACAAGGTCTTCACGTTCACCCGTAAGCCAAGTTGATGGTGATGGAGGTTCTTCTTTTTGTGATATCATTAAATGTTTTGTTCGTTTTTCAATTTCACGTAAATTTTGATATAAAACAAAATCAGTAAACCAAGTATGAAAGAGAGCGTCCTGTCAAAGAAAACAAAAGAAAAAAAGGCTAGAATGATTAAGATATTTTCTTAACTTACATTCGATTTAATACGTGAAATTGGTTGTACAACTAATAGTTGATTTGATATAAGATCAATTGCATCTTTCGATACATTTTTCCAACGTCGACCAGTAAAAAGTTTACTTTTATCACGAAAAATTTCTTCAGTACGTTGATAATCTTTTTCTTCGAATGGTAATGTACCAGACAATGCAGCATATAGAACAATACCTACACTCCACATATCAGCTAATCGATTATAACCTTCTTTACTATGATAAATCTCAGGTGCATTATAAACTCTCTACGACAAAAAAAAAAAGAAATATTCAAAATAAAGTGAATAAAAAAAAAGGTGAATATTCTCTTTTTTTTTGTAGAACTTACCGTGCCAACATGTGTCTTACGAAATGAATGTTCACCAATAATTCTCGAATAACCAAAATCAGCTAATTTAATTAGAGGAAAATCTTGATTAGAATTTTCTCCTTGATTAGATGATTTTTTGATACTCGATGGTATTGGTTGAAGACGTGTTAATAGAATATTATCACATTTAACATCAAGATGACCACAATTATTTGCATGAAGATATCTCAATGCAACAATAACTTGATAAGTAAGCATTCGACATATATCTTCATCAAGATAACCATTTTCTGAACTAGTTATATAACTACATAAATCTGTTTCCATACGTTCAGTAACCAGATAAACAGCATCATCACGTTCAAAATGAGCTTCTAGTTTAAGAATATTAGCCTAAATGAAGAATAATTATCAAGACAAAAAAATAAATTTTCAATCTGCAGTGAACTATAACAGCGTGGATTCTTATTTTTATATGTTATCTTACATATTCACAGAGGGTAGTGAATTTAACTTTAAGCCCGAGTGTAGATGTCGTTGTCTTTGTGAATATGAAAAAAAATTCACATCCACATCTTTCATATATATCTAACGGACAAGCAAATAATCATCAATTGACTATTGTGCGTCCTTTTCCTTCAATTTGCAAAAAAACGATTGTAAAAATACAGACTCCCAATGACAATTAGAAATATCAGCGATCTATAATAGACTACAAGCAATATTTCATTTTTTGTGTTTTAGAATGAGTTTTCAAACCGTGGTGTTGGAGGATCAAACTACATATAATATGTACTATTATTTTTATACATTTCAGTTTTCACAACTATGAAATGTAAACGAATCTGTAAGGATGAAGAGAATGTCGTACACTGCTCTACGCATGATATTTTTTCACGTCACTCGAGTATGAAGAATAAAATAAAAATATGTAATCGTTATGTTGAATTTAACTAGATGTTCAATGATTAATATGATAATGCTGATGCAATTGAAAAAGTAGTCTTTCGAAGAACTGAAGAAACAATTTTTTGAAAAACATCGTAGTAGAGCTCAAATTGTCTCTAATCAGTGTATCGTTCTTTGATAAAAACTTAATTCCAAATTTTTTTCGAGTTTATCTAAAGAGCAGGATTCTTAACATGAATATCTCCTAGTATATTTTAAAACATTGCAACGAAGATCTTTTTATAACTGTTCTCAATTAATATAAGTTTGCTTTGGTTATAGAATTATTTAAATTCTAGAAAATTTCTTCCTATATCATCTGTTCTTTTTTCAATACTGATACTATCTCTCTTTAAAACGTGAATTTCTACTCAAAAAATGCCAATTTTAATATGTCACAACAAATTTTGTTAAATGGTACTACTATTTTTACCAAATAAAAAAATTCGTAAATTGAGGGAAAACATCTGATTTGATTGAAACTGACGACTTGAGCGCGCTCTCGAGAAAAAAAATCAAGAAAATACAGATTTCACTTGAATCTGACGTTATTCCAAGAGTTGAGGAAAAGTAAGATCAAACAAGTCGTATTTAGTTAAACAATTATTTGCAAGTAGGTCAAATCACAAACTGTAGTCGACAGACATCATAAAGAAGTACCGCGATGTCGTTTGAATGCAAATCGGAGTGCTGAGAAGGGAAATTTAAGAATACAAAAGATATGTACGATAAAAATTCAATACGAGAATGCTTTATTTAACCAAACATAGATGTTAACAAAAACTGTTATAATAAAATATCATATGCAATTAAATCAATTTCTATGAGAGTATCGGAATGAGGCGTGGAAATTAGATTTCGTAAACGTTTTTTGAAATATCGATTTTTTTTGTTTTTCGATGACTGATCAATATTTATTTGTAATATATAGTTGAGTGTTAGAGATGTGCAAGATTATTATGTTCAGCTCTACCTTGCAGAGTAGAGTAAAGTACGTACGGTAGAAGTTTTCTAGAGTAAGGATTAGAAAATTTTTGCCAGTCAGAGTACGAAAAAAAGCTTACCCTACACATCTCTAATAGGTATGAATCCTCTTTTCATTTTTACTATCAGACCTAAGCCTACACTCATGTAATACATGGTCTGATACCCCCTTGACTGAAAAAAATTCGACCAAAACCGCGAGTTCATTTATCATGATTTTAAAAGTGGATTTAAAAAAAAAATGTTTTCCTCAAAATAGAAGCAGTTGATGTCAACGAATCGATCGAACTGTACTAGATGAAATCCAAAATCATGAATAATAGGACAGAAAAAATTTTGATTATTGTTCTATTCTATGTTTAGCTTTGATTTATACTTACATGGTTGAATCTATAGAGATTGCTAATTTCTTCATTTATTCGTCGAATATCTTGTTCACTACAATTATCTCTCTCCATAATTTTAATTGCTACTTCACGATGTGTTGATTTTCTGTAAGCTGCCATGACTCGTCCAAATGCACCTAAAATATATATTGAAATCATTCAAAAAAATACCAACATATATATTTATAAAATCATATACCTGCTCCAAGTGTTATACTAGTAAACGCATAAAGTTCATGTAAATCTTTTCCTTCATTATCTTTTCCATATGGTGTTCCTCGAAAAATACTTTTTGTTCGAATCAATGGAGATACCATATCTTGTTTTTTACTTGAAACTACATCTATTCCTGATAGTGTTCCAGGAATAGATTCCATACTCGATGATGATAGTGTTGTATTAATTAATGCTTCTCGTTGATCTCGAAGATATGAATAGAATTGAGCTGTTTCCATTTGTAAATCATGAGAATCAGATTTTTTTCCTACACTAATAATAGCTTTATTTCGTAAATGAATTTCGAAAATATCATCTTGTTCAGCCATAAAATGTGTCAAAACGAGATTAGCTATATCAGTTAATGGAACAGTTGTTTCTAAATCACCTGCTGGAGATAATCGTTGTTGTAAAACATTATTACCTGATAAATTTGCTGATATTGTTAATGTATTTGTTGTCAGACAAAAAAAATATCGTTGATAAAAATTAGCACCACGAATACATGCAGGAAAAATACCTTTATCAATGATTGCATCAGATTTTGTAGTTTGTATACTTTCTTTTGATGAATTTGTTGACATTCTATAAACAGGTACAATTGTTGTATGAGGACCCATTGTTCTATCTGTGGAAGATGTTGAATCAGTAGCAAATGGACGAGCAAATATAAGCTGTGGTAAAACTGGAGCAGATTTTTTTCGTGATTGATCACTATTAGTCGGAACCGAACAATCATCAAGTAGGAATGGTACACAATCTCTATGATATGTCATACGACATTTACGACAACGAAATCCTTGTTTATATAAACCAGGAATAAAATGTGAACATTTTGAACAATTTGTAGGTAAATTTAATTGACATCGATATAAATCATGAGAATGTAAATTCATTTCAAAAGGTACAAGAATTATTTCAATTAAAGAATTTTGTTCAATATCTGATGGTTGAATAATAGGTACCATTGTAAATTCTGTAGTTGAAATTCGAAATAGATAAATTGTAAAACGTCCAGATAATTGTCCATTTTTATTATTATTAGCAGTTTCACGTAACCATTTTTCTGCATCATTATATAATCGTTCAATAATTGAATTGTATAAATCAGTAATTGGATATTCAACTCGAGTTTGATAAAAACCAAATTTTAATGTAATTGATAATGTATTAGCACGAAGATTTTTTAAAATGCCTGGTGAATGCAATGATGACGATGGAGACGAAGATGCATTTGGTGGATTACAATTTGTTGCCATTTCATTTATTCAAAATTAAATATAAAAACATAAATTGTACAAATCGATTTAGAGTTTGAGGAAGTTGAGCTGCTTGTTTTTTTCCCTTCTTAACTTACGAGCCACGTCAAATACTT